CGTGGTGAGATGCTGTCAGGGCCAGGGTGAGGGCCTCGTTATCTTCTGCCTTCTTGTGGTCAGAGCCAGATGCCTCTTTACAGGAAACATTAATTTGTTTAATAATGGAAGTAAAAATATGTGAGATTTGTTGTGAGAGAATTAGTTTTGGCTCCCTAAGTGAAAAGTTCAGAGAGTAAGAGAAGACAATTTTTATCTTTAAGAAAGTCAAAACCAGAGTAAAGACTCTATTCAGACAGAGATTACTTTTCAGAAATAAAAATAGCAAAACAAAAATAGAAAAAATATAATAGCTATAGAGTTTCTCATTTCTAAGTCAAAGTTTTTTTTTTTTCTTTTAATAAAAGCACTTTAAAAGTTGGACTGCTCTCGAAGACAATCTAAACATCGGAATTTTCCTTCATAAAATCCTTATGAGGTAGAGAACACTAACGTACAGGGTGAAACTGAGAAGCAAAGAAGAGGTTAAGACCACATGGAGAGTGAACAGGCTGGAGCAGATGTTATGTCTTAAAGCGCTGGCCTAGAAATAGAAACAGAAGATAGAGGACAAACAGGAACTTTTCTGGATGGACGAGTAGAATAATCCAGGGATCCAGTAGCAACACCAGCTACTTAACATTTTTCACAAAGGACTTGGAATTTCAAGTACACAATGAAGCCTAAGATGACAAATGGGCTACTGGGTATTAAAATGCTCAGTTGATGGGAATATATGCAATAATTTCTCATAAGACCATGTGAAAAAACAGGCATAAATGAGCCACAGTGTGGGCGAGTACAAACTAATGCATTTGGGATGAAATATCGCTGCCTGTAGTTAAAATAGCATGTATACTGAGCCATCAACATGCTTGACAGAGGAACTTAATTCAGTTGTGTTAGGATGGATTAAAAAAAATACTGGTCATTATTACAAAGAGCATGGAAACCAAAACAAAGGCGCCCATTCACTTGGAAAATCATGTGCAACTTTGGGCTTCATAGATCCACTGTGAGCTATTAAGGGACATTATGAAAGTTTGAAGTATACTCCTGACCTCTGGAGGGGACACATAAAACATCTCCTCATGCCTATCAGACATATTTGTAGCAGGATAGGCCACATTTTTAAGCCAGTGTAGCAAATCGGATGATACGGATTCCCAGGGAGGCTTTCCCTCACGATCTCCTCTAATCGACTTTCAGAGTTAAATCCTAGGCCAGGATAATAAATACATTCAGTTTAGGCCATAGTGGGGTGGATCATAAAAACATTAATGGTAGTGTTGGGAAAAAACCCCAAGAGGCAACTAACTGTTTGGTCTCTCACTTTGAGATGGAGTGAAAGACTGAAATATCTCTGAAAGCTGGTTTTTGTTTAGTGAAAATTGGTTGGTATGGCTGTTATAACCTAATAATTTGAAGTCCAAAGGTATATCTCCATGGGTCCAACTGACACGCCTCCTGAGTAAATCCCGTGCAAGTGGAAACTGTAAACAATATAGCTACAGAATGGGGGTACTTAGAGGACAGGGCCCTTCTCGTTTTCAATTTATGGAGATACTGCTATTTTCTATAAATATTCGCAACATCTGTTCCCCTGAAACATTTATCCCTACACCTCACAGCTAGAAGTGAAGGATACAGACTGTAACTAGCATGCTTTGGTGTGAGGAGATATGTAATGTGATACCTACCATGGCCACAGCCCCTAAACGCTGATTAGAATATTCTAGGGAATGAACCAATGGAAGGGCTTATTCCCAACCAATGAAATGGAGAATCATTTAAATTGTCATTGGTGGTTCCTTCCTCCCTGATAAATGGAACTTCCACACCATGGTATCAATTAATAATATATGATAAAAAGCTGTTTATTGTCATCAAAATTTTTGACATTCTCTCCATAATCAAATTGCAACTTGAGAATAGCTAACCTAATAATGGAAATAGAGGAGAAATAAACCTGGTATTTTATATATTTGGACTGTCAAAGTAAATATGACCTCCCTGTTCCTACCTCTAAGCATTTTTTAGAGATAATGTTAAAGCAAATATAATAAAATGGGCTTGAAATAGTGAGATGTTTGCAGATGTCAGAGTTCTCTTGTCCATGTGAACTGCAGAAGTTTTTTCAACTGCAAATTTTAAATAGCCTTCTTTCTCTTCATACACACACACACACCCCTAAGAAGGAAAATGCTATCACTAAGGAGAAATGCCAGAGACTACTCAGCAGGTGGTTGATTTTACTAGTGAATACATGTAGTGAATCCTTAACAAATTCTCTTACATCCCAGGCATTTAAATTATTTTGGCATATATTAATTAATTTTAATATACACAGTAGGAGTAGTTAATTAGCATTTGAAGTATCCTAGTTGGAAACACACTCTCCAAAGGTTGTTATTTAGCATTTGAAAAGCTCAAGTCACTTCAGAGGCTACTACCACAAAAGCGTTATCTGAAGCTCAACATCAGAGACTTTGTCAATAAGTGATTATTTTCAATGGTCAAATTAGTGCTGTTAAAGGTATGTGGATTGGCCCAAATACTGTCCAGCACTCCAGCCATTCCATGAACAGGTGTGAGACTCTAGCAAGCACACAAGCCCCAGGATTCCTGGATTCTGTGTCTAGAAGTTAAATAGAATTGGGTTGTCTGACACTGAATCTGGCTGAATATTATTGGATTCACTTCTAATAACCCTTTTTCTGAAGACAGAGTTGCGTCCCCTAAAAGAAGAGAGTTGGAACTCTTTCAAGCTTACAGGACAGGTTGACTGTTATAGGATGTCTGTTCTGGTGCCTCTGCTTATAATTATGAATGATGCAGAAATTGGTCTAAAACTTGACTTTGGTGTAAAGTACTAATAGGTAAGGTTGGAGTGAATAGACAGACCTTAACCCTTTTTCTGAAGACAGAGTTGCGTCCCCTAAAAGAAGAGAGTTGGAACTCTTTCAAGCTTACAGGACAGGTTGACTGTTATAGGATGTCTGTTCTGGTGCCTCTGCTTATAATTATGAATGATGCAGAAATTGGTCTAAAACTTGACTTTGGTGTAAAGTACTAATAGGTAAGGTTGGAGTGAATAGACCCACATCCCTCACCCACCTTGGCCTACTGAAGGCCACCAAAAACAACCTAATAATTACAAGTGATCGAACTGGCCAAGTCCAGCTAGTAACAATTTTCTCTGAAGGAGGAAAAACAAACACTTTTACAGGTGCAATAAGATTAATCCGGTCATAGTATATAGTTGAATAGGCTTGCAAATAGCAGTTACTAGTTTAACAGAAGAACTGGAAGAGCTCTTATGAGATCTGCGAACAGCCCAAGAATGAAGAGCCTTGTCAGTTAAGCATAGGAATGAAAGAAATGCAGAGCTGAGCCACAGGCAACATTTCTACTTCACACTCTTCCCATTCTTCTTCTTCTGGCTTTCTACCAAAGCCACTGTTTCTTTCTAGCTATCCACTATAAGAGTGCTATCACCTCTAAGTGTTCAATTAAGACAAAACAAAGTAAACAGGGCAGTGAGGATATTAAAGAACTAAGTTGAGGATGAGATGTTAGAAGTCTGTGCCCACTAAAGCGAACCAACTGGAATGCAGTGATTTTAATTATTTGTCTGGCCATTATTGCAGCTATGGTTAGGCCAATGGATATGAGACTCTTTCTGAGCACTTTGAGAAGTTCAAAAACTAAGTTAAAACTGGCATATGCACTTGTTTTCATCTTAAACTTTTCTTATGATTTTCTTCCATTACCCTCTTCTACCTCTATTTAAAAAAAAAAAAAAAAAAAAAATCAAGAAAATTTCTTCCCTAACACCGCTCCCCAAAATCAGTTTGGAAGGAAGTAGCAGCTGACTGACAATGAGGGTGATCTGTGGGTGTGCGAGCCTTTCTGTCTCCACAAGAGCTGCTGAAAAGTGGACAAAACAGGCGTTATTTCTAGTCGGCGAGATGATTCATGTAAGGTGCCTGCCCTAGAATCCGGTCCATACTACACACTCCATAATGGTGGCTGTTATTAGCAGTAATCTGTAAAACAAGAGCAACCACTGGTCATGGCAATGTGCATTTTTAATGCATTTTCTAGGCAAAGTTTGAAAGGCTATAATCCAGATACCAAGCTTTCCATATGGCAAATGTTTACTACAGTCAAAGGGATGTCTTCCATTGACACCTGGCTATACTCAAATTAGGTCTAACTGAAATTTTCATTTGTCACTTGGTTTTCCATCGGGACAGTATGGTACTCTAAACGCTGGCAAGGGTGCTGGGAGTTCAGGTTCAACGTGCAACATTAATAGAGTCACAGGCATTTTCATTTAAAAAGAACTTACAATTTCCCATTCATTATTATCTTGTTTAGACCCCATATTTCTGAGAGTCTGACAGGGAAGGAAATTATAATCTCTGCTTTATGGATAAGGGCAACTGATGCCCTAGACGGGTTAAGTGACTTGTCTAAGTTTCCACTGCTAGAAAGAGTGAAGTTGAGAGCTAAATCTGTTCTTCTGATCCTGGGTATAATGGTCTACCCTCTATGTCCCAGGGAAGAAGAGGTTTGAAGAAAGGCTCTATTGTATATAAAGAATAGCACTAGGGGACCAGCACAGTACAGGCAAAGACTGCACAATGAGAAACAGAATTAAAAAGAAAGACAAAATAGTACATTTTGGACTACTATGAAAGAGGACTTAGGAAATCATTTTCAAAGATGGATAAAGAAACTGTACCATCCCTATGAATAAACAAGACCATGAAAATTAATGAGGGAACCAGTTAATTTAGTTTACAGCACATTTCTTTAGTATTTACTGTGGGCATGTCACAGTGACGCTGAGCACAGGTAAGAATTTTATATGACATGCCCCAAGAAGCATGGACTTCTTCAAATTCAGAACACATAAGAAGGCCAGGGAGAGGGGAACCCTCATAGAAGACAGAACAAATCACTGTCATTTAAGAATTAATCTAAATTCTTATCCCATTATGTCAGACCAATCCTAAATTAGTATAGCTGCTTTATTTTAGCAGGGTCTGCAAAGAACCTGGTTATCTGCTACTGCAGCAACAGTGTACACTCCCGGAGCTTGGACAGCCTACAAAATAGGTAATAAAGACTGTGTGTTTAAGATGGAGCATGCACACTTCCCCTTGATATGCAAAGCTGCAGCTATAAGTGGATAAGTGTTCTGGGATTTATTTCTGTTTCAGTGTATTTCAGTAAACCAGAGAGTATCTAGTATCAACTGTGTCTCATATCCTTAAGCCTCACCCATCGACCTTTAAGAGTCTAATTTCCAAATTTAAATGGTCATCGTCAAGTAGTCTAGGCTCCAAATTTAGAGATTGACAGGCTAATTTTGGATGGTATATTTCGGTTGAGGGGGCTGGTCGATCAAACTCTTTTAAAACCTCTTTCTATTCCACTCAGTATTTAGAGAAAACAGATGGGATGCACCAGGACAAGCAATCATACAGCTTACATGACCCATGCAAGGGGCAAACAGCTGGAACATCTACCAGTTTGTTAAAGAAATATCATAGCCGACAGAGAGGCAAAGAAGATTCTGAACTAGCTGGCTGTGAGGGAGGTATCTATATCCTGAAATTTCTTTTCCATAATTAATGATATTAAAAATGCAATAGTAGGTTCATCTTGATAGGGAAGTTGTTAAAGACCGGTCAAAAGGGCTCCTGAAACCCAGTGCTTCCAAACCTCTTTCCCCAGGGCAAATGCAGATGTCTCTACTCCCCGCTAGATCCTGGGTACACTTTTGTGACACTAATTCAACAACCTGCTTCCCAGCAGGACCCCAGAAACCATCCTCAATGTGTAAGACATTTTTAAAGCTTTCTAAAGGAGGTGATGCACCACCGTATCTCCTTCTCTGTAACATCCAATATTTATAAAACACTTCCCTGTCAAGGAGAGCTCTGAACAGTCATCTTCCTATTGGAAAACAATTGCAAGGATTCCTACATCTTCAGTTACACTAACTCAACGATGGGATTCCAAATAATAAAGTTAAATACTTTCTTTCTGCGCCAGCATGCTACAAATGGCAGCAAACTCTAGCTCTGAGGTAGCACAGTGATACATCAATGAGGGTCCTTGGAATTTACCCTTTGACCCCATCTAAGGAGCACCTTTTAAATTGCTAATAGCCCAGCTAAGGCACTGAATTAAAATTTAAGCATCTTTTCTCCCAGAATCATTTGTCACCCAGGTAATGGAGGTGGTGTATCACAACTGTAGAATAGCTAGATAATTTTTCTGACAAAGTATGGAAACGAAGAAAAGGAAACAAACACACAAGCAAGAACTAGAGCCAGTACAACACGAATCATAACGTATCTTTGGTACCCATTAGAAATCTGTTAATATTCTCCCGTCCCCTTGAAGCTTAGGTTAGAAATGTGTACTGTTCTATAGTGTTTATGCCACTCTCTCCTAATATATGACGTCTGTAGTGGTTTTTTTTTTTTCCACATCTGTGACATATCTCTAATCTTCCAGAATGCATAGTAAAACAACGCTTACCTTAAGATATGAGAGAGGGTAGTCGACATCTGTACCTGTGTTCCCTCCTCTGCTCACCCCACTCTCATTACTACCTTGAATTTCAGTGAGGAAAAGTTGTCAAAGCGAAGTGAGAAAACTCAAGACAGACACTGGCAGGCAGCATAGTAGTATAAGATACACTGGTAAGTCAGTCATTGTATTTGCGTTTTTTCTTTTAGCATCTCTTTATTCTTGTTGACTAGGTAACGCAGGAGAGCGGGGATCAAGGACAAAACGTAGGGTTAGCACATATGCCACAATGAAGTGGCTTTTTTTTGTTGTTGTTTTCAAATTTTCCACCTGGCTTTTAAGAACAAGAGTTATTTCATGGTGATTTTCCAGCTTTTCTGAGGTAGATAAAACATGGACGATAGTAGGCTGAAGAACGCAGAGGGTGGCTAAAGCCTGTGTGGATGGGATTACTTTGAAAGAAATTTCAGTAGTGAAAGCTGAGCCTGTCATGTACAATACCACAGAAAAGAGGGAAAAGGCTCAAGGCTGTCCACCATTTAGGCAGGGTTTTTAGAATTTAATAGGTGGAAAATAGGATAATCTGGCTAGCAAAGAACAGAACTGTGGGGACAATGACAGAGCAAAAGGAGAACAGAGCAATGTACTTAGCTGGCACTCTGCTGATCAGACTAGACAGATATGTTGACTAGGCAAGAAATATGTATCCTCGGGACCTTAGTGAATCAAGAAGTAATATATATGACAGTATCACAAGAGTCTAAAACCAACAGGCTTGAAGGTTTAAGCTGCCCTTGTTTTCTGGATAAAGAACAAATTTTGCCTGTGTCCTCTGGCCTTTTATTTGTATACAGGTATTGTAATTGTAGTAAGCATGTCAGGAAAAGCCAAATCCCAACGAAATAATTAGTGAAATGGATTTTGAACTTTTTTTTCTGCCCTTTTGAGTTCTAGATGAACAAGCTGGCTTGCTAGAGACCCAGTGAGGTTAATAGTCCCAGTTGGGGCCTTTCTTTTTGGAGAATCACTGCTGTCATCACAGGCAGATGCTCTACTTTTAAATGAACATGCTATTGTAGGCCAAATGTTAGTAGTTAAACACCATCCTCACAGAAACACACAAAGCTATAGTCAAATTCACAAACACAGCTGGTGGTGAAGAAACTCTTAATGAAGGAAAGAAGTTCGTTATCGGCTCCAAGTCATTCATCATGACTTCCAATATACTTACTTAGACTGAGATTGTTTTATGCGAGAGAATAAAATAATAACTATTGACCTTGGTTTCTCTCCCCAATCTAAGAATAATATTTGTTAGAACACCCGTGGAAAATGAGGAAAATCACACGTAATGTTCCCGCGGGTTGATGTAGGCTCTCTCGGGGTCGTTGTTTTGACGATGTTTGCCAGGGCTCCGGTCTTGGTAGCACATCTGATTGTAAAGGGGGTACATCTGCTGAATCCCATCTTCCCTCACTGGGTTCTCATCTTCGTAGTCAAATCTCCTGCTATTTAGTCCATTCTAAAAATTCAAACATTGCTTACATTAGCAGACGGCTGTTAGCATTTTTCTAGCACGTTGGTGAAAATAGGAAAGAACAGAATTCGTTACAACCTGTCTCTGATTGCTTATCTCACAAACTATTGAATGGCAGGTTAAAAGTCAATGAATTATCATTTTTCAGTCATTTGTTGCTTTTAATACCTGAATAAGAGTGGTGGAAATTCCTAAATAAATTGTGACTAATTAATGGGAACTACAGTCAGTTTCAGGTTTTAAAATCTGGAATGAGTATTATCAATTACAGTAAACTGGAGAAGAATAGGCTGGGAACTTCGGGAGTCCCTCAGCATGGCTTACGCTTGGAATGAGTGCATGAGATATATAGAGAATTAAATCAAACAACCAAACCAAACCAAAACAAAACGAAAAATGAAAACCCAAAAGAAAACTCAGAATTCAGCACTGGGGAGTTAGAGAAGAGACACAGCAAAATGAACTGGTGTTTGAATCAGCTGAGAATAAGAAGCACTATCAGACATATTCTCGTCTTTTCTTCCTTGCTTGACTTTGGGTCACTGCTGATACTATAAAATACTTCCCTCCCCTGCATGCTCTGGTATCTTTGGTACTGATCCCTCTACTCGGTTATTGGTTTCATAAAACTTGATTACTTCTAAGAAGGATAAGCAAGCTTAAGAACTTTATAAAATCATACCACAGATGCTCAGATAGCAAAGAGGTGAATAAAATGAAATTTCATAGAAATCAAATGATGATTTAATAGGCATGGTGGCCACGAGCTCCACTGGGGCCCAGAAATAGGATAGCGTTACTCACAGAGTGCTGGAGACCGCCAACCTCTCTTTCTTTGAACTGAGTCTGCAAAGGCAAGTGTTCGGTCTAGAGAAAGAAGAAAGAAACAGGCATGCCCTTTAAAGCATACGGTAACACAGATCAATCAAGACAACTAAGACTTCTATTTTTAAAAGAGCCAATCATGTCTAGTGAAATGTCTGCCAACTGAGCAAAACGTTCCAGACGAGAACAGGAGAAGCAAGTACATTTCTTGAGAGTCTGTCTGTCTGTCCGTTCTCTCTCCTCTCTCTCTCTCTCTCTCTCTTCTCTCTCTCTCTCTCTCTCTCCCCTCCCCTCCCCTCCCTCCCTCCTTCCCTTTCTCTCCCTCTCCCTCCTAGCTCCAGATTTCCTCTGAAAAGAAAAAAATATCTGCTGCAGAAGCTTTCAGGCAAACTTGTTTAAATCTTATTTCAAGGAGGAATCAGCAGAGAAAGTCTCTTGCCTTTTCTCAGTGGAAGACTCTGCTATTTTGAATGAACTAAAAGTGGTTTGAGGTGCTAATGAACAGTTATTTTTGTCCTTATCGCTATGTGTTTTATATAGTCAACCTTCTCCTCCTGCTGCTACTCCCTGTCCCCCAGCCCCACCCAGCTTATACCCTAAAGAGGATCTTTCTCAGCTGCCCTTTGGCTTATAAACGCATACTTATCCTTCAGTCTCCAGGTCAATCTTCCTCTTTTCAGGGATGCCTAGTACTAAGCCCCCAGGCATAGACAGCCAGTCTCCTTTCTGTGCTTTCCTATTGTATATTATCACAATTATTTGTCCCCATCACTAGATTGAGCGTGCTGGTTGGAGTATTTTATAAACGTTCCATTTAATCTTTATAGTAATTCTATAAAACCATATATTTTACAAGTGACTAAAACTGAGGCTCAGAGTGATTAAGTTATCTCCAGTCACATACCTGAGAAGTGATGGATTGTGATTCAAACATGGATTCGTCTGATGCCGAATCCTATATTCTTATATCGCCTGCTTCTAGCTCAGTGCCTGGACAATAGATGTTTAATAAATATAACAAAAGAATGCCTGAAAATCCCAGCATGTAGGCATATTTCTCAATATGCTCTCCATTTTACTACCTTTCTTACACTGTCCTTCTGATCTGGAAGGTCTGTCCCTTAGTCTCTGGTATTTGAAATACTTCCCATCCATCTTGGCCTGACTAAAGTCTTTTTTTCCTTCCTACATGGCTTTTCCACATTGCCCATCAAAGTTAATTTTTCTACTCCCACTTTTCCTATTGTTCTTGTTTATGCCTCTATTAGAACACACATCATGATCCATCTGTTTTATAGTTCCTGATATCTGTATCTTTCACTGAGCCTTTCTTGGCCATTCTCCTCCATCCTGACACCCTAGCCTGTGGTTCTGCAATTAGAAGTCAACAGTTAACCAATGAATTTAATGAAACTGAAACTACCAAATCTTGATATCCCACATCAAGGTTATCCAAATTATAAATTATCTGTGACAAATTCATTCTCCCTGGTATTCCGCATGATTCTGCTGGTTAGTGCTTTCCACATGACCAGGTGACGTTGACAGTATACAAGTCTAAGGCTAGGCCAGCTTCACGGACGAGTGACCATTCACACAGGACCTAGCTTACTAGGCTCCCACTTTGGGGTTTAATGCTCTGTGGTTGTCATCTTAGATTTATTACTTTCATTGTGAATATGTTTTGTAAGTGGTCTAATGGGACAACGGAACATGCTTCAGGGACTTGTATTCTCAGCTCAAGGATGTCCTGCCTCTTGCTGCTTGTTTTGATTTAGTGCTGGGCCACCATGCCCCCACCCTGGTGTCCAGCTCCTCCTTTCCATTCCTCCCCAGACTTCCTCCTCCCTTTCCCTGTTCAGTGACTGCCAATGCCCTCTGCCCCAGAAGGGGCCTGATCACTAGCACAGAGAAGGTAGGGGTCAGGAGTGCATGGCCCTCTGCATCATGCTACATCTGGCAGGTGGTTGGAGGACATGCCTCATAAGGGCAAGCCTCTTACTTACTCCTGTTCTAGGTACCTAGTCTTGCCATCTTGACATTCTTAACTTTAAAACAAGGGGCCCTACATTTTCACTTTGCAATGAGCCTCACAAATTATGTAGCTGGTCCTGGTCCAAGGAATATGGCTCAGAAAAAAAAAAAACAACTTAAAATTAAAATTAGCATTTTCTTTTATTCGCTATTTTAGATTATCCCTGTTGCTGTTTTCTTTCCATTAATAGAGGTAATTAAGAAATGAATCTACATCACTGCTGTATCTGATTAGATGCTTCTCTGTAGAAAAAGCAAGTGCCTTTATCCCACTGGAGGCAGTGTATGGAAAGCAGGGGTATAGTCAATACTGAAAGAGATCACATCCTCAGAATACAGTGATTATGACCTCAAGAGTTCAAGAGAAGACTTGGCTGGAATATGTGCTAGTCTATGTTATGCTATAAAATTCCAAATGGTAAATGTAACATGACCAGAAAATAAATTATCATTCACACTTTCCTGAACACTCTGAGTAAGATTTGCATTTCGTCATTACCAAGGAAACACAGTAACAACCTTTAAGTCCATAGAAACCAGTATTCATGAAGGATACAGTGGAAGGCGTAGTCACCAGTATTAATTTAACAGCATTTGGGGTATTATAGAGTCGGAAAGATCTATTCTGTTACAATACAGAGAGATTTCAAAGAGCCATGACTAATAATAGCATTGCTTTCTTTTACTCATGATACGACGTATAAAACTAGCCAGAAGTGGTACATTTGACAATAAAAGACAAGACAATAAAAGAAAGAGTTCCTAGACCTAATCAGGAAAAAATGGTGTCTGGGCTCTACAATGTTCACATGTACTAACTAACAATAAGCAAATGCCTAAGTTCCTCTTCTCCATCCAATACTGTAAACCTTCGTCCATAAATTACTATATCTCACATGAGCCTATGAATTTTGAAATTGTAATACAATATTTAATCAAATTGTTTACATAGACAGGAGCCCCCACACACATACACTTAGGAATTGAGAGCTGTAGAAAAGCATGTTGTGCTCGTCTATATTGTTTGGCCATCCAATTTCTTACAAGAGACATAAGAAACTTAATTTAATTTAGTGGTGGGTGGGTCTATGCATTCTCTTTCTGCTAGTCCACAAACTACTTGAAATGTTGCATATTCTGATTTTTTAAAAAAATGAATAACCACAGTATATAGAAACATGTATAACACCTCACATATTTTTGGTGCTTAATATATAGGCAATGAATTAATCTATAATACTTTAACTGATACATGGTATATATCATTTTATTATTCTTGCATTTTTTTTTTCTTCTTAGAATGCCTTGGGCTACTCTAAATCTCTAATACATATTTCAGTTTCTGTACTTGCACGTATGTACTATCTTGCAGCAATTTCTATTGAACTACAGCCCATATTCGCTTTTCCGATTTACTAAAGTCATGCAGACTTTCATTCCTGGCTTCGAATGTGCTAAGAACACTAGTTTTTCAAGTTTTATTATATGGTATTTTAATAAATATTTTACTTTCCCTGGCTCAAGAAATAAGCCCAAATCTTCACTTTTTACTATGTATTATATTTAAACCTGTTTCCATCTAGACAATATTTTAAAATTCCATAAAGAGAGTTTTTGGATTTTTTTAAAGGTTTATTTTCAGTAATGACAGAACCAAGATTTCAAGTTGCTATTGTCAGGAGGTCTACAATAACTCTGAATACTCTGCTTGCTCTGGCAGTGTCCATTTGGATTCATTATTCCCACTACCAAATCTGAGTCCTGTTGGTCTTCTATCTTGTTTCATAATTTCATCTTAAGAGAGAAATGAAAAGATAAAACTTCGACATCTTAAATTCTAACAGGCTTTTATCTCTCAAAACTTCAACTTGACAAGATACCTAAAACTCATTACCTGTGGAAGGACCATCCATATTCCCTCAGTTCCTACAAGTGAAGATATACTACGTACCCTACAACATCACACCTACGCGTAATTGGTTTTCCCTCCACTGCTGCCTTCCCAGTTTAAGCATTTGCTAAGCTTCCCTGTCACATTCTTGGGTAATTTTACACTGCCACATCAAACATAACTAAATATTTTAATGTACACTCACTAATTTTTATGAAACCAGAGAATCTCAGATTATAGGTTATATGAAGAATGCATGAATGATAAGTATATTACTTAATTACTTTGATTCTGCTGAAATCTAAGAGCTACAGCAGATTACTGTACATTGCCCTCTTATATCTGTCAAGAATCTCTGAATCCTAGATAATACCACATTCTCATAAATCTTTCCTTTTTAGTTTGCCTCTATTTATGCTTTCGTTATTCTCTTTATTCCACTGGTGACGAGGGGAATCATGTCTCTTTATTTCCCCTGCATCAGAATTTCAGGTTAATATCTAGGATTCACATTGAAATTACCTTCCAGTGGGCTCTAAATAAAAGTTTCTGGAATTGCTGGGTCACAGGACACCTTGTCATTTTCCATGAGCTGCATCCTTGTTCCATGATCTGCATTGTCCTTCTGCTCTATTTTCTACAAGACGCTCTGCATCTGTCGGCATTCGTTCTCTCTTCCAAGTATGCCTCCACAAGCTTTTAATAGAGTTTCATCCTATCAATATATCTTGTCCTAATGCTTTGTCCTTATATTGACGAGTGATATATTTTTACTTTTGCTTCCAGTTATGATGGAGAACTAATATCAGACTAGTACTCCTGCCATAGATTACTAGAAAACTGGATAAAATACATGAAACAACAGTTTTCAAACACTAAACAACTGTGTTGCACAACACTGGAATCTCAGAGAATGAACACACACACACACACACACACACACACACACACACACACACACACAATAATTCTGTGACAGCCCTGATTTCTCTGCTGATTTGAGAAGAGGAAAACTCCAAGAAGAGCACAAGAAGGGTCTTACTATGCTGAGGAAGTATGAGTTCAGCATTCAGGCAAGCTGAGGTGGCATGTTCCATGGGACAGGGTACCAAAGTGA